AGTTACAACTTTGTCAGCTGATCCCCCTCTGATGCACGCTGGACCTGCTTTGCTTTCAACATTTTGTTTGTTCGTGTTGGGCTTTATCTCAGGTATGTTATGTCCTTGGGGGGCGCACTCTTGAATTTGCTATGTGTTTTTCTGGTTTTCGGTGTATGGAACCTTGGAATGAGGAACTTACAGGGACAGCAGGTGGAATAGGGGTTGAAGTGGGGGGTGGGGTGCAGAGGTGGTGGTAAAAGGGAGACAATGTCAAGGAGTCCGGGAAGGGAGAGAGTGTCTGGAAACGGATTGTGGTGGCCAGGGCCCAACACTGCTGGATGGGATAGATCATTCTGTAGTTCAATGTATCAACTCCCAATTTAAAAGACAGAACGAACAGCCCTGTGAACTCCAGTGGGCATGGGTGGAACCCGCAGGGTCCCCGATCGAGCACGCTTGTCGCAAAGGGATGTCAAGGAAGCGGAGGACACGCACGGAGGAGTGTCGTTTTCTTTATTCGTACACACTTGCTTCCAAACTACAGTGAATGTGTCTAACAAAGCATGTCATGCAAACGGAGGTGAGCGGGGCCATGGGCCCAGGAAAGCAACGCGGCCATCTGTACAACCGTCTCGCCTGCTCTGCTGTCCCCAGTGTCACCGCTCAGCTGTGCGCGCGGCCTCCACGTTGTCAGCAGTTGCTCCCAGAGAGGAAAGAACGCCAGCCCCCCCCATCAGCCCCCCTCCTCCACAGCACGTGGGGTTCTCGGTCAATGGCTTTTTCAGTTCGTGGTCTACGCGCGCCCTCCAAACCCGGAAAACACGTCACGGAGCAAGAGCCGTGGTTCCCAATGTCTCTGGCCTTCTGGAGAGGAGGGTTCTCAAGAGGCCCCTCGGCGAGGGGCTACGGAGGTGAAGTTTTAGAAAAACAAAGCAGAACGAAACATTGAGACTCCACAGAAGACCCGCCTTTGTGTGTGATTCCTGGAGTCCACTGAGCCCCTCGAGGGAAGAACCACGTTGTTCCTGGAAGAACCTCGACACCCCCACAGACAAGCGCAGGAAGAAATACGCCGGAAGTGGAGCAGAGGGGACACCTACAGCAATGGGTGCGGGGCTTCATCGGAAAAGGCAAAGCCGCCTTTTGTCTTAGTTTAGCAAAGAAAAAAAGGGTTATTAAAAAGCGGACCTGAAACTCATTTTACAGAAAAGTAGGCTTCTGTCTATGGGAGACACGGAACGTGTCACACAGACAGCAGGTGCGCTGGCTGCAGCCCCTCCTTCGTGGGGGATACGGAGAGGTTTCTGTTTTGCCCGCTGGGCAAAATCCTTACCGGGCAGCTCTGAATTGTGATAAAAAATGAGAGACAGGAGACCAGTGGGGACTAGGGGTGGAGCTAAGGAAGCCCCTTCCCCATGCCAAAAGGTGGCCATAGAGCCTGCTCCCCTCCCCGGGCAATGCTAACCCAGGGCCATGAAGGGGGGAGGGGCGATGACAGAAAGTCAGCTTTATTAAGGGTCAAATCTTTCCATAGCTCGTTTACAGTTGTCCCTAATCTGGAGGAAAACCACAGAGCATCAGTCTATATATACACCAACTGCCCCTGAGAGTCCATGCATTTGGATCAGGCCCCACCCCCCACCCCACTGGCGCTGGGAAGCCTTGCAGTGGGGGTTCAGGTAAGGGGTGCTCTGGCCGACCCCTGTGGTTGGAATTTTATGAAATTACCCAGTAACTTGATTTTAAAAACTCATTTCAAAAGAAGAATTGAATTATTAAAGTTTTCTATAAAAAAGTACAAATAGCCCCATAGAGTCAGTTAGCCTAAGTGAATTAACGAATGAACCTCATCCTTAAGGTTTAAAAAAAAAAAAAAGTCTTTGGAACGTGTGGGCTTTTCTTATAAGGCTGTTGGGTTACTGAGGTGACCAGCACGGTCACTGTGTGAGTGGACACCTGGTCACATGGATCAGAGGCACGGGTTGTGGTCATTCATGGGTCCTGGCCATGGCAGAAAGAGCTGGGTGGAGGTGGACAGCGATCACTTCCGGAAGTCCGCCTTCACCCGGGGAGCACTCTGGCGAGCCTTCCTGGTTTGCGGTGTCTTCTAGCGACAGAAAGGCCAGGCCCTTCCTAGAGGTGTCCTGCCAGCCCGGGTGGGACAAGTGTGTGCGGTCTGGACTCTTTCCCAAAAGGCGGCCCGAGCACCTCGGAGAAAGTGGGTGACCAAAGCACTTCCCAGGGCTCCTGTGTACAGGGCCCTTCCACTCACGGCACAGGCAGGACAGCAGTGTGTCTGGCTTGTGACCCTGGTGGTCAGCAGTTGGGTTGGCTCGTCTTGTTTTGCGGTCATGCTTGTTTGCAGTGCGGCCCCTCCTGCCCAGTCCTGCCCCCTCCTGCTCTCAGGGTGGACGCACAGGAAAGGTGCCTCCGTCCGAGCCGAGGAAGAAAATTCCTGTCGTGGTGCTACCTTTCTGAGGTGCTTAGGACACAGTGCTGAGAGCCCACATGTCTCCTGCTAAGTAGAATCTAGTGGGAACTGCAGGAGTGCCCTTCACAACTTATCTAACCTTGCATCCATCTATCCATCCATCCATCCTTCAGGCTCATAATTCTTGGCAGAAGCCATAGAGGAAAGTGGACTGAATCCTACTGGCTCTTGAGATACACTGAGTGGCTGGGGCTGGTCCAGGGGACAGTGAACTCTCTGGGTATGGTGATGACGGTCTTGGCGTTGGGGGTTGTCTTCCAAGGAGGCTGCATCTCTGGCATTGTGCTTTCGAGGACTCCTGCCCACACCAAGGACACCTGGAGGCAGGCCGCCATGGGGTGGAGGTAGCAGGTCCTCCCCGGCTCGTGGTCCTGCCTGGCTCCCTTCCAGATACACTCCAGCCCTGCTCTTCTTTGAACCCCAGGATGACTTGCACCCTCCCTCCTCTGAGCACCCATGAGTGACTCTCCTGAAACTGCACCTCTCATTCCAGCAGGTCCCCCCACTCTTCTAAGGACTTCCGCTCAGAGGAGCTCACCAAACATTGACTTTTTGTAATTTTCCAACCAACCATCTCAAGCCTCGTTTCCGGATAGCTCAGGTGCCCTGTACTTCTCCTAAACTCCTACTACAAGAACCAGATAGACCGCCTCAAGAGAGGCTGCATGGCCTTGTCCCAGGCCAGGGGGACCCAGTGTGCCGGTGAGCAAGCATTTGGGCTCGTGAGGCTACCTTTCTGCCTTCGGAACCAGCTCTTGCCTGGAAGGGACTGTCTCGTCAACTGCCCGGGCGGCACCCGGAAGCACGCTTCTGATGTTGTCACTCAGACCGAAGGCCTGCTGGCTTCAGAAGAAGGCAAGTCAAGAGAAGAGCAGCCACCAGACTGGGCAGCAGGCTCGGGCGGAGGTTCAGCCACCAAGTGATGGCCACCTTCCAGGGAAAACACCGGAAAGCAGTGCCAAAGGGCCTCTCGAGCTGTGCTGTCATGTACCAGGGAGCCTGTCCTGTCCCAGCCCTGCCATTCAGGCTGGGGCTCTGGGGTGACTCTCACTAGAGCTCCTAAGTGACTAGACCCTTCGAGGTGGCTGCGCAGGAACAGCAGTCTGTTGCCTGCGGTTCCATTTCACATGACTCCCAGGAACTGGGGCAATTCCAGAGCCACGCCTAAAGTCTGCAGGCAAGTCTCCACATGACTTACTCTTCTGTGGCCGCTCTAACGGGCCTCTCCCATCTTTCACATGTTGGCCTTCACCTAAAGTCGGGGCTGCCTTCTCAGACAGGGTGCTAGGCTCCACGGCCTGTGCCTAGTCTTTGAACACTCACGCAGACGAGGCAAGGGTATAAGCCGATTGAGATGTTGACGTGCCTCTTGGAGGAATAGATTTTGGTGCTGTTTGGCCAGGCAGGCAGTCTGGAATGAGCTGACCGGCCTGTCTGTCTCTTTAAGTGCGTCTTATAAATTGGTCCCTTTTCCAGCAGACCATGAGGTGCACCTGGGGTGGAGGGGCCCACCCGCAGTGGGCACTGACCAGAAGGGAGGATGCGCCGGGGCCCCTTCTGTGTTATAAAGACCACAGTCCACACGTGATGACTGGAGACACTCCCTCTGGGCCGACCCAGGCCCCACCCGTCTCTTCCTCCAAGCCAGGGCGTCCAGGAAAGCCAGGTCTCCTTTGGAGAGACCCCAACCGTGCTTGAATGTGATGTGGGTTTCAGGTCCACAATCAGAGGGGCGATGTGACTGGGCGAAGCTTGGGTCGTGGGAGGAAACAGCATCCCCTCTTTAAGGACTGCTACTCTTTATGTTGCCGGAGGCCCGGCTCCTCCAGGGACCTCTCTGTGGAACGGTGGCTCCCCATCGCCAGGCTCCTCCCAGGAAGTGGCTACGGCGGGCAGAAAACCTACATCCGCTCGAGGGGGTTGAATGTTTTTGGTCAGGGGCTGACCTGTGACCTCCGGGGGCGTGGTGCACGGTGAGAAGCCAGTGCAGCAAGGCCAGGCAGCATGGACTGGTGCTTCCATGGACAGCAGTCCTCCCCCAGCCACTCCAAGTCACTCACAGTAACAAGACCGGAAGAGGAAAGAAGCCAGCCAGCCAACTGACACCCCAAGGTCAGCCCGGGTGCTGTGACACCCCCACCGAGGCTGCATCAGGGCTTCGGCACCGTGGGCGAGAACGGAAGATGACGACGCTTTGGGGAGGGTCTGTCTCAGCTCAAAAAAAATCATCCCCTCCAAGGGAAGTTTTCTCTGCAGGCAGAATCAAATATACATATATCTATATAATGTATGTAGACATCTGCATAAGAAAAGCCTAATTGGGTCATGTAAAGTAGCCATTCATTTCTGAAATTAGATCTACATTTAAAAAAACAACGTAACATTATCATCTGATATAGTGCCAAAGTGCAGGGTTATGCCTGGTGGGGTGGGGGCAGGGGTGCACAGACAGCAGCAACGAGTTAACCTAAAACTTAATCGTAAAAGCAGGTTAGGAACAAGAACCCTCACAGACAGCGCACAATGGTGTCTTATAAAATTATTATAATACTCTCTCTCTGTATACTTGATACGGTTATTATCAATAATATAGATTCACTTGTTATTAAGGTTTATTATAAACATGCAAAATTCATTGCATGGTGCAGTTGCAACGCGTACTGAGACCTTTGCAGCAACAGGACGCGGCGCCTGCCGCTGGGCAGCCGTGCATCCTGAGGCTCCGGGGGTCGGGTCACTCTGACGGGCACCGGGTGAGGGACACGGGACCGCGCATCCCAAGTGGACGCCCCGGCGGGAGGAGGGTACAGTCAACACGCGGAGTAGGTTACTGTACATGGTACTGGGGGCCGCCGCCGCCGCCGATTTCAATAAATACGTACAAAAGGGGGCGGGGAGCACGCTTCCGTGCCCCGGGAAGGAGCGTAACCACGCAGGCAGCAAACTACCGTGTGTGCGGGTGGGGTTGGCTAACAATACTCTTGGGTAGTGGCATGGTTACTGATGGCACCCGGGATCACAGAGAATCTCCTGGAGATTAAGAGGAGCAGGCGCACGGGCGCACGCTGCTTTAGCCTTGATCTGAAATGATTTTACATGATCGTTGAGCAAAGTCCTTAGACAGTTTGGCCTCTGAAGAAAGAATGCTAGCTATCAACCAAGTCAGGGAACGAGATGACAGGGTAGTGGAAAGTGGATCTGAAATTTTCCTTCACTTGTTTGGGCTTTTTAGTGGTCACCGCTGGCTGGGTGTGGGTGTGGGTGGGTGAGTCTGAGGCACGGTGAGCCAGCTCCTCCCCCTTTCATGGGTCCTAGGGATTGTCCCCATCGGGGCAGCGGCTGTTGGGGGGTCTCCCCACCTGGACCCGCCACCCCCACCCCCTTTCATCCTGAGGACAGCTCAGGTGGAGGTGTGTTCCGGCTCCGGCCTGGACTTTTCGCAGGTGGGGACAGAGGAAGCCCAAGGAGAAGAAAAGACAGTGGAGGGAATGGAAAATCGTACCCAAAAAAAAAAAAAAAAAGGGGGGGGGGGCAAAATTCAATTTGCTTCCTGGGGAGGGTTAACTTACAGCCCTGTTGTGATGCCCACGACACAATCCAAGGAGACGCTGGCCATGTCGTCAGTTCCCACTCGGGTGATGCTCCCAGGCTGAGGGTGGGGCTGGGAGGGGCGAATACCCCTACAATTTTCAGACTTCCATGTGGACCCAGAAAAAGGTGTGGCTTTAAAATTTTAGGGTTTAGGGTCGTTTCCCACAGGCGGTCGAGCCAGGGGGAGCGGGTTGGGGTTCTGGTGGGTGAGTTTCATACTGCGCTCTGTATGATGGGGTGCAGGAACTGGGGGTTGACATAGGAGAACCCTTCGAAATCCGACTGATCGATGTTCGCTATGACCAGCTGGTCCGGCGGCGTGAGGACGGGCTGCCCGCGGGTGAAGAACTTGTCGAAGTTTTCCGCTCCTTTGCCACACTGTGGAGAGAAGGGACAGAGGAGGCTGCTTGGTCAACAGCAATGACCTGGAGTGCAGGTCCCCCAAGCGCTTGGGCTGGCCCAGCGGGGACTTGCAGGCTCTCTTGGTTCAAAAGCCAGGCGCAGCAACAAGGACAAAAAAGAACCCCATCGCCAGTCTGTCTTCAAACACGCACCCTGTGGAACGTGCTATAGGCCTGCGGTGGCAACGAGGAGACAGCCCCTCCACCTGCCACCTAACAGAGCCCACTGAGCCGTCAGCACCAAGCCACACCCACGTGCCATCAGTCAGGGCTCCACACTGAAACGGCCAGCACACTGCTTGGCGCGAGAAACAGCCACCCCAGGAGGGAGCGGTCGAAGTCACAGAAGCTGTGTGATCCTTGTGTTCCGTCCGCCAGGCCAGGAGCGCTGGCCTCCCAAGGAAGCCGAGATGGGGAGGGCTGAGCGAGGTGGCAAAAAAGTCGGGCCCAGCTGGAACTGCGTCTCTCTGCTCAGCTGGCAGGCAGGGAGCTCATTTGCAGGGTGGCCGTGCACTGGTGTCTTGG